CCCATGTATTGAAAAAAATTAATTTTATAACTTATTCAATATCCATGTTGCTGATGAATTTATGGATATTTTAAATCTAATGTAAACTCAAGCAGTGGCCAACCGTAAGAGTTGAATGTAATGATGCATTATATCTGGCGTTAATTATGATATTTCTCTCACTTGCTAATTATATGACAAAAATAGCAGATTAAATTCATGAGATATATCGAGATGCTTATTAAATATAGTAGTTTCTGAAATAGATCGTTTTAAAGACATTGATCAGAAACCCAAGACATCACCTACCATACCTATAAAGAAAACAACATATTTCATATTCTGAACTAGTTGTTTTCTGTAGTGAGTTATCTTTGGATTTAATTGGTCTTGTCTTACAATTTCTGCTTTAACTTTCAGAATTCTTGAAAACTTTTAATTTGATTTCCAAATACATCTCGAAGTGAATCTTTCTTCTTTACTTTTTTCTGTGTGCTCAGTGACTATAAAATGTCTTTAGTTTTTATTCCAAAACTGTCTGCTCGCTTTGCAAGAATATCAGCAATTAACATAATCACTTTTAAGCTAATTATTCAACATCATCTTCAAACTAATCTTCACATTACCTTAAAATCCTCTTATAGTAAAAGGTGAACTCGAATCAATTTCAGTAGTATACAATTCATTGAAAAATAATACCATGTAAGTGGAGACCTAGATATGCGCCAATAACAACAAAAATAAATTCAAGGCTGAATTTTACGTGATTAGCCACTGCTGAAATATTGTCAAAAGGGATGCACAAAATCAGTTTTTAAAATGAGATAAAAAGAGCTATAGAAGATAGAGAGCTCAATGATGGATATAGGAATTGAAGATTCCACATCAACTCAAAGGGTAAGGTATATATGGAACTATAGAAGATAGAGAGCTCAATGATGAATATAGGAATTGAAGATTCCACATCAACTCAAAGGGTAAGGTATATATGGAGCTATAGAAGATAGAGAGCTCAATGATGGATATAGGAATTGAAGATTCCACATCAACTCAAAGGGTAGGGTATATATGGAGCTATAGAAGATAGAGAGCTCAATGATGGGTATAGGAATTGAAGATTCCACATCTACTCAAAGGGTAACGTATATATGGAGCTATAGAAGATAGAGAGCTCAATCATGGATATAGGAATTGAAGATTCCACATCAACTCAAAGGGTAAGGTATATATGGAGCTATCGAAGATAGAGAGCTCAATGATGGATATAGGAATTGAAGATTCCACATCAACTCAAAGGGTAAGGTATATATGGAGCTATTGAAGATAGAGAGCTCAATGATGGATATAGGAAATGAAGATTCCACATGAACTCAAAGGGTAAGGTATATATGGAGCTATAGAAGATAGAGAGCTCAATGATGGATATAGGAATTGAAGATTCCACATGAACTCAAAGGGTAAGGTATATATGGAGCTATAGAAGATAGAGAACTCAGTGATGGATATAGGAATTGAAAATTCCACATCAACTCAAAGGGTAAGGTATATATGGAGCTATAGAAGATAGAGAGCTCAATGATCGATATAGGAAATGAAGATTCCACATCAACTCAAAGGGTAAGGTATATATGGAGCTATAGAAGATAGAGAGCTCAGTGATGGATATAGGAATTGAAGATTCCACATCAACTCAAAGGGTAAGGTATATAGGGAGTTATAGAAGATAGAGAGCTCAATGATGGATATAGGAAATGAAGATTCCACATGAACTCAAAGGGTAAGGTATATATGGAGCTATAGAAGATAGAGAGCTCAATGATGGATATAGGAAATGAAGATTCCACATCAACTCAAAGGGTAAGGTATATATGGAGCTATAGAAGATAGAGAGCTCAATGATGGATATAGGAAATGAAGATTCCACATGAACTCAAAGGGTAAGGTATACATGGAGCTATAGAAGATAGAGAGCTCAATGATGGATATAGGAAATGAAGATTCCACATCAACTCAAAGGGTAAGGTATATATGGAGCTATAGAAGATAGAGAGCTCAATGATGGATATAGGAAATGAAGATTCCACATGAACTCAAAGGGTAAGGTATATATGGAGCTATAGAAGATAGAGAGCTCAATGATGGATATAGGAAATGAAGATTCCACATCAACTCAAAGGGTAAGGTATATATGGAGCTATAGAAGATAGAGAGCTCAATGATGGATATAGGAATTGAAGATTCCACATCAACTCAAAGGGTAAGGTATATATAATATTAAGAGTGAGAAGAATCATCTGATTAAACAGAACATTAAATTTGTTAACGGTAAAAATATTTTGTGTTATGCCTTTAGGATCCAGCAAGGGATCACGTGTGTCAGGGTTTAATTAAGTTAGATGCAATAAACTGAAGACGAACAGTGCAAAACTAGTATCTAACTAGCCTGAGCAATTTCGACTCTTAGTGAGTCTTTTTCAAAAGCATAAACAAAACAGCCCTGGCTAGTTGAGACATAATGCATCAATAGGTTTAACTCATGTAGAAACAGTAATGCAGAGTTTTACAATCACAACGTTTTTTATGTTTTATTTGTTTGTTTTGTCTCTGTCTACGTCACTACTTGGTATGTCATGAACTCTGCCAATTCTACTGTGTGCACTGCTTGATGCACTATGTTCACTATCTGATACACCGCGTTATGTGCACTGCTTGGTACGCTATGTTCACTACCTGATACACCACAGTATGTGCACTGCTTGGGACGCTATGTTCACTACCTGATACACCACGTTATATACACCGCTAGGCACACTATATTCACTACCTGACACACAACAGTATATGCACTGCTTGCTACGCTATGTTCACTACCTGATACTCCACGTTATGTGCACTTCTTAAGACGCTATGTTCACTATCTGATACACTACAGTATGTGCAATGCTTAGCACACTATATTTACTACCTTATACACCACGTTATGTGCACTACTTGGTACACTATATTCACTACCTGATACACCACGGTATGTGCAATGCTTGATACGCTATATTCACTACCTGATACACCACAGTATGTGCAATGCTTGGTACACTATATTCACTACCTGATACACCAATTTATGTGCACTGATTGGTACACTATATTCACTTCCTGATACACCAGTATGTTTAATGCTTTGTACGCTATATTTACTACCTGATACAAGACGGTATGTGCAATGCTTGGTACACTATATTCACTACCTGATACACCACAGTATGTGCACTGCTTGATACGCTATGTTCACTACCCGATACACCACGATATGTGCAATGCTTGGGATGCTATGTTCACTACCTGATACACCACGGTATGTGCAATGCTTGGTACGCTATATTCACTACCTGATACACCACGGTATGTGCAGTGCTTGGTACGCTATGTTCATAATCTGGTACCTACCTAGTACACACATCCTGGTAGACGATGTTGATCAATGAATTAAATTCTTTTGCAGTGTATTGTACACAAGTGTCGTCTGTACCAAGTTTAGTCTAAAGTGTACTGTATTAGAAGTAGCAGTTGTTGTAAATGATTGTAGTAGTGGTGGTCTTAAAACTGCTGACAATGTTTTTGCCCTTCTTATTGTTGTTTTATAAAGGACGTTACCTCTTAAACGATAATTTTCCCACTGAATTTTATTTTGGCTTCATACTGTCACACAACCATTGGTCATATGTCTTGTAGTCCAAATATGAGGTTATCATTTCCTATAGTGCGTGGGCATGAAATTGTCTACAGACAGTCCTCAACCGTGGTGAGCAGGAATAAAATCTATTTATCATGCACAAAGTATACAATTCAAGACTTGAACTGTCTTCTTGCATGTCAAGTGGTTGCCGGCAAGTAATAGACCGGAACTCCAGGTTAGCTAAGGCGAAAAGTGTCAATCATTATGCCGCGTTTACAAGGATATAAACATAGGGACCTTGTAATGTGTTTGAGTTACAGGTATATAAATGTAACTGGAAAAAATTACTACGTGATGTGGTTTTTAATATTTTGCCATATCACCGTTTTGTACTATAGCTTAATGTTTGCGGTGCAGGTGAATTGGTGTTCAATTGTACCTGACGCATTTTATCCTCAGTTTGAACATAGCGAAGGATACCAATTATTTTTAAACCTATTAACTGCTGATTAACATTACTTGCCTGGGGAAGAACATCAGGTAAATAGTGCAAAAGCTCTTTTCTTAAAGATTGCTGTATGTTAACTAATACGAGAATATATCTATATCTCATCCATTAAAAAGGTTCTGTCATCTTTGGTATAACGATTCATTATAAGATGCGTGTACTTCAGTCACCTGAAAAGGTGAAATACATGCGATACGCCCCGGCAGTTACAGCGAATCTCATTAACATCAGATATTTGTCTTGACAGGTGTTTGAACATGACAGATTAAAAGAATTCATGAGACATAATACAATACCTCAGAAATTAACGGCAAATAGGCAAGACAGCATGGCAAGTCAAATAAATACAAATTCCCCAAAACCGGGTCTCATCTACACAATTATTAAATTAAGATACCATGTAAAATTACTGTCTTTTGAAAATGACGTATGTATCTTAAACAAGGCTAAATTATTGTTACCAGACATTGCTAACCCTTTTGAGGGTCATCGCGTTATGTTATATATATATATATATATATATATATATATATATATATATATATATATATATATATATATATATATATATATATATATATAATTCGACACATTATGACGAAACCCTTAGCAAAGCAAATAGGGTATGTGATGTGATATTTGAATTTTAACGTAGTTTTAACAATTTTTCAGTCATATCGCTACGCTGAGTGCAGTGTGGCAGTTTAATGTGATGTCTAGCACTGTGGTATCATGCCGCAGACATGTAGCATGATGTCCCAACCAGTCACCAGACTGACCAATCCTAACACTAACCTCTTAGTGCTGATCTTCAAGTGAGGCAGCTGTTATTACCATTTTTGTAAGTCTTCGGTATGACTCGAGTCGAACTCACGACCTCCCGCACATGAGGCGGACGCTCTAACCACTAGGCCACCGGATCGGTGCAATTCAGGTATAAAAAATCATTAATATTGCGATAAATAGCATCTCAGACTTTCTTCAAACAGTCTGTGATAGTATGAAATATTGTTTAATTCCTTTAATAAATTTAAACTCATCTTAAGTTAAATATGTCATGTCATGGCGTCATTTGTCTGTCCGTTCATACGTTAACACTTGCTTGTCCTGCCCTTATGATAGAATTTTAACGATTTGATACATTTTCATTACACTTTGCCTACGTATATGTATATATTATGACTTGACGGTGTGTGGCTTAACATAAACATATCCCTACCTCCACGACAAAGTTGCGAAAATAAAAATTCGATTTATGTGACTGGTACCTTTGTCCGGAGTGTAATGCTATAATGACTACAAATAAATTACTGAAAATTTAGACAATTACGCGTCGTCTATAGATGGTTTTTCACATTACATAACAAAACAAGTCTCTCGTGTCAGAATGATGGTCACAAGAGAAAAAAAAATTGAAACTTTTTTGAGTGAATATTTTGGAGTCTCTAAAATTATTTTCATAATCCTTCATCAGTGATACACCATGAATGGACAATGTGTCGCATACCATAGCCATGCCTCTGACGCAAGGTCAAGGTCATTAGCCTTTAATGTATTCTGACTAGACGCGATCTCGCTTACCTAATCATATTACATGACTTACGGTCAAGTTCACAACAAGGGATAAGGTAGATCATTGCCCTATTTCCTCATACAGTCTGTCGTATTTTCACTCCAACAGTGAGTTTGCAAAACTTTGCCGAGGTCTACTCCTTCTCATCAATAGTCATGTACCTAGCCCAAAGGTCAAGATCTTTAGTAAGATAAAAAGTCACGAGACGGACGTATAATGTGTTGTTTGCAGTGTCCTTGTCAAATTTGACTTCTCTCACTTGTCAAAGAAAATGTCATAGTTTTCTCTCCTTTCACGAGTCCTGTTTAACTGTCAATTAATTATCACAAAAGTTGAGCCTTACAAAACAAAGCGCTTTGGTAAAAGTACTTGGTATTTAAACAAACATGCATAAAATATGTTTAATCTATGAATGTGTCCAGAGAGAAAATGGTAAAGAATAAATCTCGGTACTGTGGGAGTGGTGGTGGAAAATTAAATAAATTGTTGGCCAGATGGAAGCATAATTTATTAATTAATCAAGATTTTTAACAACAAAATTATTGTAGTTGTATTATCCTGCTGTGAACGTGACACAGGGCCGCGGACATGGTAGGATAAATAGGACAAAATGACAAAATTCAGGGGGCCCACAACAGTTTTTGAGGCCCACCGCCGACGAATTTTTTTTATGTAGCTCGTAATGGTCTAGTGTAGGATTTTTCCTAGTGCCCACAAATTCTGTCCGAGGACCTGATGTGACAAATTTAAACCCATCTCACATATTGTATGTATTGCAAATATTCTGTGGCTATATGAAATAAATAACATATTGTCTTCAATTGTCGTAGTCATCATAAACTTTAATATGCAAATTACAATAAAGTGACATATAATTATATCATAAGGTAAGCCATACACATGTATTTATTATTAAAATCATCAATTAAATCTATTTTTTACATGTATACTTCTAGAGATCTATCTTTTCACGCTTTAATAAAATACTTGAAAATTGTTTATGCACAATAGGCGAACAAGGCAACAGCGCTGGGTGCCAGGCTGTCATGGACCCTTGATTGGACGAAAGTGAGGGTTTTTTTCCTGTGGAGTGGGAAAAAGTAATGGATCGTCTAGGGCGCCAAAAACCGTTGGGATGGCCGTGTTGTTATGATAAATCTTATACCTACAACGTTCAGCTGTAACCGCCATCTCTGACTGTATAAAGTCCTGCTGACCCGATCGTTTAAAAACAGAATCCCTTGAATTATTGGAAATTTGCAAACTCCAGTCTTTTGCACAATAATTAACAACACTGAATTTGCAATCTCATATATTTGCACAATACATTGACAACACTGATTATATTGTTCCTGGTGTCAACCTTCGTATTTTGTGGCTTCTCAAAAATTTTGTATGTGACAATTGTAAACTTTATACATGTATTCTGAGGTGAAATCTCATTGTCATATATTTGACACATTGTTAGATTAAGAGTCCACCTCTTTCTTATTCTCATTTCTTTTGTAAAAAAAATACTGTCTTAGTTTCAGGTTTTTGTTTCTATTTATTTATTATTTTATCTAATTTTGTACATAAACAAAAATATTTTTGGAGTGGGGAAAGACAGTTTTCAGTTTTGTTTATCTCAACTTACAGGTATTTATTATACGTGTTACTGCTCCAACAGCCATATAATTCTATATGTTCGATAAGAACTTTCGAAGATGTCTCATAAAGCGCAGCCTCTACCAAAACGAGGCGAGGGATAAAAGTCTTGATTTCTGATCGTTTTCACGGTGACATCTTTTAGAATAACCTGTAACTGAGTATATGTAAGAAGGAGGGACCATGCCCATCCTTTACAGCTAAAGGCGAAGACTTTCTCAAACGCTTCTACATGCTTCAGCATACATACATAGGTTATGCTTAGGCAAATGTATTGAATTTGGATGGCTACGTTCAGAATTCCTAGACTATGATCGTCATTGGATTTTGTTTTATAATTTCTATTGTCTTTCCCTTCTGATCCGAACAAGCAGCATATTATCTGAAGAAAAAAAAAAGTTGTTTATCGGGATAAAATGAAATACAAGAATCCTGGGAAAAGTTGATCCAAGTAGAAAAGTATATATTCTCTTCTACTTTCGCTCAGAGTCTACAATATATATTATTGTTTTGCATTCATTGAGACTGTGAATGTAAAAAAAAATACCAATTATGTAAAAATCAGACAGATTGTAACGAAACATTTTTTTTTTCGGTTAATGCAAGACCATATGCTTTCACTCTTAAAAAAGACAGAAATTTCGAAACATTTTCCATGTAAATATAGTCCATTTTTGTTATCTATGCCAGCGATGTGTTTTGATCTTACTTCGAACTCATAACAAGCACACAAAAGCAAATTTCCTTTAAAGAACTATGCACAAGAGTATATATCAACGCACCTGAATTAACTATATGTACTAAAACATAACCTCGATTGTTACAGTACGTGTAGAACAACTATTAATGAGAACGCTCTGAGCAGTATATGGTAATATCTTCTGTCTTAATAAATGTCGACAAACTGTGAGTAAAAACAAATTGTCTCCTAGTCATGAATGCAAATATCTGAAGCAAATAATTCATCGGGGTATGACCAATCCCCAGGAGTCCACACAAAAATTCCATTGTATAGAGGTGCACAATGGAACCAATATTAGGTTCCATCTTACCTTCTAAGTCAATTGATAGTATTCTTTCTTTGAGTTCTGATGTTAAGTCTCTTAACCAATTTAAAAATTGGACATATGAATGGCTGTACTCAGAGGACTAATAACCCAAAAGCGAAACCATTAAGGCAAAAACTCCAGATTAAAGACAAAACTTTTCCAATTTTTTAAAAATATAAACATTGTAGAAAAACTAGTATCAAATAATAGATATGTTTTGTAGCTGAGCTTTATAAAACAGAACAATTTATAAATTCTTTCTTCGTAAAAACATCGTGGACTGGAATCATCTGAGTGACAGTAATGAGTGCGCGAAATGAGTGGTGAGCTTAAAGACAGCTCTTGGGTAACACTACTAACCTTCTAGTTGGCCCTCTCTTCCTGGGAAAATTTATGCCGTAACTGGCCCTACATTGAACACGTTCAGATTCAATAATATTTTGGATGCACTTTTAATTAGAGCTCTTAAGTTACAAATTATGAGAGGTATCGAAAAAAAAGTTTACATTGATTTTCTGACTCACTTTGGTTCTTTACAACCCTGTTGCAATGGAGAACTTTTCAACTTTTAACCCAGCGAACACGTGTGAAATTTGACCACACTCCACGCACAGAAACTCCACAAGGTCTGATGTTTATTGAAAATAATCAGTCATGTAAGCAATATAGGATTGTGGACTACTTGCAAGAACTAATTACCTACGAAGTTCCAGCGCTTGATAGGTAATATTGATAATTTCTACATGACATCATCCCTGTCAGTCAACCAATCAAACACCGCTATCTGCATCATTCGTGAAGGTAATTGACGTAGTTTTTATACTTTTAGACCTTTTGCCTCTGATAGTTAAGGAAAATCTTTTATCCTGATAATTTTGTTTTAAAACTAAGTATTTATAACCAATAACAAGTTGAAGTATGATCTCAAGATTTTCCAAGATTCGTTTTGAGAAATTCTAAGATGACGAAATTAGACACTTGTAAGTGAAGATAAAGGATGCGAAGTGAGTAATCCGCATGGTATTACCACAGGTACTCGACGCGAGCTTGATGCTAAAAAAAAAAACGAAAAAAAAAAAACATTAATCTTATGGAAAGTCTTACAGAGGACAAAAATACCTCAAATTACCCCCATGACCCGTTCTGACATTGGACTCTCAGTCTCTTATATAGTATGACAGAGAGGGTCCAATGTCAGAACGGGTCATGGGGGTAATTTGAGGTATTTTTGTCACTATGTATGACTTTTTAATAAAGGTTATTGTTTTTTTTTAGCATCAAGCTCGCGTCGAGTACCTGTGGGTATCACGGTACCAATTGTTTTTCCATAGACCTTAATGTTGATGTTTGGGAAAATAAATATATTTTCCATCCTAACTGTGCATGCACATCACACACTTTTCAGAGAAAAATGTAAGATTGTCAATTTGACTATGACCGAACCAGGTACTGCATTGCATTTAAGAGAGATAACTCTGCTGGAACTAGACAGGGGTATGAGTTACCTTGTCACAACAGATGCATTTTCAGTCATGTGTACAACATTTTCAAAAAATCATAAAAATACAAAATATGATCTAGATAGGAATTAGCACAATGACACATGTTGCCAAGAGGCTTAACTTTTTTAAGCATAATAGAAAGTACAACTCTTACAAAATGCACCAATCACAGCTAGTGTTGTTGTTTATTTCTGAATGCACTGTTCCCTACAACATAAGCTCCACCCACCTGGAATTGCGCAATTGGCCATAGAACACAATTAATTTTACTATATTGTCTCTACATTTATTTCTCAGTACTAAACTTTCCACTGTGTGACAATCAATACAAATCATATGTTAATCTAAAATACCTTCAAAGATGACTTTACGGTGAAGTTCTTGTCAAGGGATGACCTGCTTTTTTTTTGAGAGGCTGAATTTTAAACAAAACACCAGGCAACGGAACACAGATTTCACTTCCGGATCATCACCATGACCTTATTACTCAATGTGCACTGTCGCCGAAATAGACACAGATAGACAACCACACCATAAGCTCGTGTTTTAAAGAATAAACAATTGCCTTTAAATCCTTACCAAGAATGCCAAAATCTAACTCTATTATCACCACCAAACTCAGACAGGAAAAAGTGATCTAAAAATAGACTGGGACTACATTCGTGGATACTGAACCGGATTTTATTAATTGTGTGCTGATACCAATTGGTACTGTTATACCACATAATAGTCCCATACCGGAACCGGACGTCTTGCCTGTTGTATCGAGTATGTTCAAATTATAAATTTCGTTGTTTCAAACACATAGGTGAACATATTATAAATATTGCTACTCAGTTCAAATATATTTCAGTAGGCCAGTGACTTCATTTAGTCATCACAACAAATTTAACAGGTCAAGTGTGTGAAACTATTTTGTTTGACTCTTAACAAACATATGCTTCCATCGATCCGATTGGCGTAGGGATAAAATATAAACTTTAATAGCAAGACAGTTTAATAAGAGTACTAGGATTATCTTAGCCTGAAGATATTTTCTACTGGGGCCGAAGTGGGACAAAATAATGGCAGAGGATCCATCCATTTTATGCAAAAGTTAAATCTTAGGAATTAATTTATCCATAGCATTTTGGATTAAATTGCATTTCATTAATATTGTACAAAGTACAAAAGACTGGCCCATTTTTGTATAAACATACGTTAATATTTTTACTCTGATACGTAAGAGCTGGCATTAAATTTAAGCCTTTGCAAACAAGAATAAATTAATTCCTATGTGTGGGATTTCTGAGAAGGTATGTCAAATCGAGATTTTATGAGTTGTTGAATATTTTTCTCACCGTGAAAGCGAACATTGCTGCAAAAGAAATGACCCAGTTTTTGGCGATTATTTCCGAATCGTGTTATGAAGAAACGAGTTTCGTCTGCTCTTGACACGATTTACTCCTTGCCTTCTGCTTACGATTTTTAAAAGTTCTTAATCTTAACTAAGCAACAGAAAGGAAAACTGAAACGAAAAGCAACAAGTTGAGTATAATTCAAGAAATAATTTATTTCCCTAGAATGCAAAGTAAAAATGTACATTGATCTTACAATATTGTGAATTAAATCCAAAATAAAGTTATATTACAAGCTTGAATTTATTTGGAATACCACTGGAATTCTTTGTCGAAAAGAATTCCAGTGGTATTCCAAATAAATTCAAATATTGAATGTGTCGATATGTGCCATTATGCTTGCTGCATCACAATGACATAATCCAAAAAATGTCCTTGAATAAATTAACAATAATCCAAAAAGCATTCCAGTGGTATTTCAAATAAATTCAAATATTGAATGTGTCAATATGTGCCAAAATGCTTGCTGCATCACAATGACATAATCCAAAATGTCCTTGAATAAATTAACAATAATCCAAAAAGCATTTTGTTATTCCCATCCATAATTTAAATAAATAAATCTTAAATTATAACTGAACACAACTAACGATTGATTCCACTAGACAAGTCTATTTTCAGATAGGAATAATCTATTCTGCTGATCACAACATTTTTATAAGAACCAAAGACCCAATAAGAAGCCCAATATTAAGGACGTTTTCCCCATCAAATTCCTCGACTAGGTCAAATTTGTTTACTTAAATTTTAACAACTAACCTAACAGAAATAAAACAGACTGTATAATTAACAAGGGGCAGAAGTCCGAAGAAAAAAAAACAATGTCCTGAACTCAGAGCCAAGTAAACCTGTTTACAAACATTCTCTTAAAGTGGAATCTACAATCAAGGACACAAGTTAGCTCTGTAACAAGTTTTTTTTTTTTTACAAAATGACCCTTACAATTTACAATTATGGGCAAATGTTAAACACACACTCAATATATATATATATATATATATATATATATATATATATATATATATATATATATATATATATATATATATATATAACGAATCGTTTAAATATAAGTTGTTTATTCTAAAAAAACGCAATTTTGTTTGCGCTGCTTTTACACTCATGGTACAGCAACAGCTTTTCTTTTTTCCTGGAAGGACCATATATATCCTTTTCTGTTTTTCCTCTGCAAATTGCAGCTTTATATGCCTTGCACCTTCGTCGTTGGTGATTGGCATTGGAGTAACGTATGAACCTTTACTCTTTTAAATATAACTTAAACCTAAATTTTAATACTAAAACAGTTTATCCTAATGGTTGAATAATGTGTACTTAAGTAATAATCAGAAAACTTTTGGAGAAAATAGTCGACTGCTTCAGACTTTTACAAAGGCAGATAAGCCGTCTGCAACCTCTTCAACCTATTAACTAAACTTTTCTCGTAGGATAGTTTTGTTTCAGGATTGGAGTGATGTTCATCAGTTTCAAGTGGCATGTTAAAATGAAAACTAATAATCATGAACAATAAGCAAGCGCTGATTAAGGCAGCACTCAACAGTTTTCAGACACAGTCTGGGACTATGATGTACCCTCTCTCCTTTGTTGTTGTTGTTGTTGGGTTTAACGCCATTTTTCAGCACACGAAAGGCTATTCATGGCGGCCAGTATTAATGGTGGAGGAAGAAACCGGGAAATCACCGGATTGAACCACCGACCCCCGATAAGCTACTGGCAAGCTTTCTCACATGTCAACATTCGCCGAATCCTAGACTCGAACCCACGCAGAAAGAGGTGAGATGGCAGTGATCCGTAACGGACAGCGCTTTAGACCATTCGGCCACTCGAGGCACCCTATCTCCTTTGAAGACACATGCTATCAAAATAAAAATATATAGCTATCAACATTTATGCACTTCTAAACTATCTTGAAATTGGATGAAACGATTTTGTGAAAACAGTTGGCACTGCCCAGGCAATTTGTCTACAATTTGTGCCTTTTAGAGTCTCTCATCCAAGGAACTCGCAAGGGCTTATAGCTCGTAATTTTGAACTCTTTTTTAAAGAACAAAATCGGAAATATTTCATACACAAGCAGGCGATGTTTGAGTGTCAAAATATTACTTTAATGAAAAGGTAAGTGTAGCAGTAACATACAACAAAATTACCGTGAAAACTTGGGTAAATATAAAAAGAGAGCTAGGCGACATTGGACGAACATGACAGCCAAAACGTAATCTCAACACCGGATAGCACAAATGTGTTTCTGCACTAGAATCAGTCTCTTTGTGCACACAGTGTCAGATTATGCATTCGTGACACCAGTGTAAACACTAAGGGAGAAACCGGATAGCACAAATGTGTTTCTGCACTAGAACCAGTCCCTTTGTGCACACAGTGTCAGATTATGCATTCGTGACACCAGTGTAAACACTAAGGGAGAAACATCGACTTCAAGTACATCTGTCACATGGTCAATCATATGTAACAGAGGGGGTTCTGAAAAGGAAAATCGTGAGTTCACGTTTAAAAACAAAATCGTTATATTTATTTCAAAATAATTTTTGGGAAAATGGAAATAGTAAATCTTCTTGAATGCAGTTATTATGCTTTGTAATGTATGTAAATTTTATGTTTATCTTCAACACTTTTTGAATATTAGAACTTTTTTAAAAATTAATTTTCATATAATCTGAGACCTACATAGCTTTGGCTTAAGTATACATTCAGTTTGTTTACGTCTTAAGTGTTTCCGAGTTGTACTAACAGTGTACTCTATCGGTTCTTTTTGTTACTGCGGATTTATCTGCCGTGACCAATAGAAGATAAGCTTACATGCATCATCTGCTACAGTAAAACGCGTAATAACTCTGTAAAATGACAGACCCTCGTGCAACAAAATGGACGTCTCTCGAGACATGTGGTCTCAAATGATACATAATAACACCATATAATCAATAAAATTGTTCATTGAGAAACTTGTCTCCGAAAGTCAGGTGGTCTTTCGTGACACGTTATAACGCCATATAATCGATAAATCTGAGTGTGAATCAGATTTTTAATGTAGAATGAACAACTTTCAATCACATTGCTACGATGTCTGCAGTGTGGCAGTTTATAGTGACGTATTGCACTGGAGAATCATGCCGCAGATATACAGCATAATATCCTACCCAGCCACATTATCCTGACACCAAGCCAACCAGTCCTAACACTAATCCCGTAATGCATTGCGCCTAGCGAAGCAGTTGGTTGTAAGTACCATTTTGTAAGTCTTGATATGACTTGGCCGGGGTTCGAACCAGCGACCTCTGACATCCGAGGCGGACGCTTTAACCACTAGGCCACAGGAGTGGTCTTGTGTATTGAGAAACTCGTATCCTAAAGACATGTGGTTTCTCATAGCAGTGGTCTTTAAATACAGGTTTTACTGCACTAACATGCCAGTATATATTTAGCAGTAGGTATGTCGAAACAGTTTGTGTGGACATTACTTGCAAGTAGTCATATATACTGGTGGTTCTTGTCTTGGTTGATGAATGTGAATATAGAATATAAAATACTTATGGGTTTGGTATCATTACGTGTTATTTTCATGCACGAGAAAGAAAAAATGTTGCTTATGAAAACTGGAACAAACATTACAAAGGGATCTGTATCCACTCACATTCTGAACCGGTCCTACTCTCTATCGATTTGCATATCAGGCCATCAGTCACTGCTTCAGAATTTGAGATCAAAGGACCCTCAAACGAATATCTTAAAGTACCTATTCCGTGGCGCTATCCACCTGGCTCTTTTGCTTGCCGTGAGAAGAGGTTTTGAGCGCAAATATTAGTTTGGTTTCTCAAACGTATTCAGATCTATAAAAAAAAAATAAAGTCACTTTAAGTTGCATTATCAGAAAATGAAATCCTTTATACACATTCTATTACTTCTTTAACAAATTGTATTGGAACAAAGATGTACGACATTTACTCGAAACGGTATCAAAATTATCCACAATAATAGATACAATGAAATAGTATTCAGTGTGTTTAATGCCTATGGAATATTCGATTAGAAGTTCCAGTCCTTCTTGTACATATAGAAATGGATTAAAGCGGTTTATAAATAGACTAATGCTCTCCATTGATAAACACAATTTCAATCAACTCAAATGTTTTAAATTCATTCCATGTTTCATTATAACTAGTACCCAAAGCCAAAATAAATTATAACCCTATATTTTCATATGTCTAAAAACAATGATAAGACATTTGTACAAAATTTTAAATAAACAAGCATATAGTGTGGTGTATAAATCATGTGCTGCATGGTAACATGTTAAGTGCCCGGTATCTTCAGAACTACAACAATGAGATTTGGTGAGACTAAGGAGGTACAATAAGTAAATTTGGTGAGAGGTATGTCCCTGTGTTATTATAGTCCTTTATGAAACCTAAAGAGCTGAAATTGTAATTTAAATTATATTGGTGTTTATGCATTTCGACGTACGTTAACAAACGATATTTGTTTTTCTTTTTAGTAACATAAACATTTGAGTTGTAAAAACATTTTTTTAAATTTAAAGGTACAATGACTTTCACATCTGAGTATATACTTTTGAAGGAGATATTTCAAATATTTCGAATTCAATTTGCCTAGTGATTAGACTTAAGTGACAGGAACAGCATTTCAGTTCATTCGGAAAACAATATTGAAATAGATTTTACAAAAAGAATATTCACTTCATAATAACAATGCTAATATTAAAAATACGTGTAGAAAAAGAGACTGGACTTCGTTAGGTCAGCATTACATGAATAATCCCTCCAAGCACGAAATCTGTAACCTAAACGAATAGAAGAAGAAAAAAAATTGATTGACATGATACAATGCCTCTGAAATGCTACACGATGATCATATGGGATATATTTTACTTACTGACTAGATACGTATGACAACTCACCAGCCTCTCATTAATGACATTACAATGAATGAATGATACTAACAAAATGATGGCATATATCAACTTTCTAGGTCAAGTATGCTGTTGTTGTTGTTGTTGGGCTTAACGCCATTTTTCAGCACAAGATAGGCTATTAATGGCGGCCAGTATTAACGGTGGAGGAAGAAACCGGGAAATCACCGGAAAGAACCACCGACCATGAGAAGCTACTGGCAAGCTTTCTCACATATCCACATTCGCCGAATCCTAGACTCGAACCCACGCAGACAGAGGTGAGATGGCAGTGGTCCGTAACGGACAACGCTTTAGACCACTCGGCCACTCGGCTAATGTGTAACTCCTCCTCACTCTTTCAATGGCATGAAATGGTCTAGGAGTGCATGACTCACAATTGCACAGTCCAATAAATAGATGGACCATCACTAACAACTGGATGATGGTGCAAAAGGTGAATGGGTTCAAAACCAGAGGCGTAGCTAGGGTTGGGCAGGGGGTTACATATGTCCCCGGGCGCCAAGGTACAGGGCGCCAAAATGAGGCTTACAACGTTTCATTATAATAAGTAAAATAGAAAAATGTGATTAAACGGGGAGGGGGCTGGGGCGCCAATTTTATAGTTCGTCCCCGGGCGCAAAATATCATAGCTACGCCTCTGTTCAAAACCCAGTAGGAACATGAAAGCCCATGTTTTCTGACACTGTCATTAGCACTACATGTAGCAGTACATATCATAGAAGAGGAATTTTGAATAGCAATCAAACAAGTAGAAAAAAGACACATTCCGTGTAGGCAGATTGTCATTTCTGTGGTGTTCAACACCAGAAGACCCTTGTTGCTAACATGTATGTTCTCTTCTAAATGTATAACAAAATATCTGCAATAATAATTCAAGGAGTGGTAATAAAAGGTATATATAATAATATATGTAGTTTAAAAAACGAAAAAAAAACCCAAGAGTTCATTGAAGGAACTGGCGCTCTACTGGGCGAAAACAAGTTCCAGGAATTCAAGATAAAACCATTTCTGCCTTTCAACTGTCCAGTGTTGAAACCATTTATGATATTAGATGTAACCTTGGCAACGTTCTTTTTTAGGACAATGCAGACATCAATCGGAGTCCCTTGGTGAAAACCCTATTTCATCATAATCATCCATTCAGAGGAATAGTTACAAGAATTTTAAGAATAGTTTTGGCATACATATTGGATGTAAAACTGGCACCATTTTTATTTATGTCCAACAAGGTAGCACAAAACTATATTGGTGAAAACAATATTTTCAGGACTGTACTTTCTATTCAGGAGTAGCAATAACAAGACTGTCAAGATGGTTGTTTTGGTGATCATATTCGCATAAGATCGGCCCTATTTTTATTTAAAACCAACTGATAATCATAATGTCTTGTGAAAATACCACGTCTATATGAATTTATTTTCAAACCGAGCTGTGACAAGATTTTTAAGATGGATGCCTTGGAAGCTTTACTGAATGTCATATCAGCACCATTATTTATTAGGACCAAAATGATACCATTATAAGTTATTTGGTGAAAATCCCATTTTGTTATGACCAAACATTATGAAAATTAAGGACAACAATAATTTTAAGATGGCTACCGTGGCGGCCATATTTGATTTGCAATCGTCACCATTTTCATTTAGAACCAACTAGACATCATAAAAAGTCTTTCAGTGAAAACTCCATGTTGATATGATCATCCATATTCAAGGAGTAGCAATAGGAAGATTGTCAAGATGACCTTTATGGTGACTATACTTGACAAAAATAAAACGGTACCAGGTTCATTTAGAACCAACTAGACATCATAAGAAATCTTTCAGTCAAAGCCCCATTTTGAAATGATCATCCATTCAGGAGTAATATCACTATTAGGATTTTTAATATAGCTGCCATGGCGGACATATATGACGTCAGATCGACGGCTGTATTGGGAATCAGATCGGCCCATTTTCATTTAGGGCCAAATTTGAGAACAGTTCGGCACCATTTTCATTTGAAACAGGCTAGACATCGTAAGGAGTCTTTTAGGGAAAACCTCATGTTGAGATGACCATACATTCTGTGAAGTCGTTATAATAAGAGTTTCAAGATGGCCGCTGTGGTAGCCATATTAGAAGTCTGAACAGAATCATTTACATTTAGGACAAGCAAGACCATGAGATAAATGTGTATGTAAAGTGTCAATGTAATCCTCTAAGTAGTTTAATAGCAGTAGAGAAAAACATTGTGGTAATGGACCGATGCATAACAACAAAAGACAATGAACAGATACTGGACAACAGACAATCCCACAAACATCTTTTACCAGTATATCTAAAAATAGTGTTACGTTACTGATGCAATTAAGGGCAAGTCTATTACGTTTTAACACTACAGCATTTCTCACGAAGAGCTTTCGGGACAGTAACTTTCAATCCGACCATATATACCTGGCCCCTGTAACTTCAAACCATAGCAAAGGCTTGATAGCGATTTTGAATGCCATGCTATGTGATGCAAATAAGATGAAAAACCAGGTCATTTGATATACCCTTACGATTATAGTCCAACTGCAAACTGCACAAAACAATATTTGTCATCCCATAATGCATCAGAAAACCTGATTCTATTACGTTTGTTAGGAGTAATCAGCAGAGCAAGCAATATAGACTCTAATCTACCAGCGCATTATGTCATTGCAGATCAAGGTCATTGTTGTTTGAAGATGCACTTGACTTATAAGCAAGTATGTATGGTTACTTACGGATACAACAGACAAGAAACGGTCAGAACACAAAAAATTCCACTTGGAATCAAGGGTAAAAAAAATACAATTTTGTAAATATGCATAATAAACAATGTTTAGAGGATTATATAATTTTGGTTATTGTACCTTTATTATGAATAAAGTAATTAAAAACCAAATCGTGTGCACTGTCAGGGAAAATTTGTGCTCTAAAAAGTCTATTACTGCAAGAAAAGATTACTAACCAGTAGGTTGCCGTTATTAATTGATTAAAGTAAGCCGTGTCAGCTTAATAACTAATAAGATATATACCAAACAAAGATATGTCAATAACAAGTGACAATAAATATTTCGATAAAATTGCTACGATTGGACCACTAGTACTGGCTGCTTTGAAGAGGTGGCCTGGCCACTTTATAAGGATTTAATTAGTATCATATTGGGAGCAAACAGTACATGACCAGTCTGAAAAAGCCAACAAAAAATGCTGCTTTACAGAGGGACTGGTTTATGAAAGTTTCACAAGTACTCTGGTGAGATATAGCAAAAAATAATGATCTGAGGCACTCGAGACCTACCAGTTGAAGAAAAACTATCAATCATTAATGAAAAGTTAAATAAACGTTAATACAGTGTATTTCATTACATAAAGTAG